CCTCCCGTGGGCTCGGCAGCAGAAGCGGCAGGCCGTTAGGCCTTGCACGGAGGAGGCGGAGGGCGCGGGGTGAGGCCTGGGGGGAGCCGTAGCGTGTGGGATCTGTCAGCTTAAGCGGCACGGCTGGGTTCGTTTTCTTCGTGTTAAATCCATCCCTTTGACGTGACAGCTTTGGATATCTCCCAGAAGTAGTTTGTTTAATACAACTACCTGAAAGGAGGTTGTAGTGAGGCAGGTGTTCGTCTCCCAGGTAACTAGCGATAGGACAAGGGGCAATGGCCTCAAGTTGCGTCGGGGGAGGTTTAGATTGGATATTAGGAAAAATTTCTTTACTGAAAGAGTGGTCAGGCATTGGAACAGGCTGCTCAGGGAAATGGTGGAGTCCCCATCTCTGCAGGTGTTCAAAATACGTGTAGATGTGGCTCTTTGGGTTATGGTTTAGTAGGCATGGTGTTGTTGGGTGGATGGTTGGACTTGATGGTCTTAGAGGTCTTTTCCAACCTCTGATTCTATGATTCTCTGATTCAATTGAATAGACACGGGTATTAATGAGAGTAAATAAGGCTAGCCAATACAGCTAAGGCCGAATCAGAGACAATATTTTGCGCTGTCAGGCAGAAGGGAGGCTTGCCAGAGGCAGCGCTGCGGGAAGCGAACCCCTCTTCATTCCGACGGGTCGGGCACAGCAGCCGCACGCCTGCTTGCAGCAAGCCCGGAGGTTTTTGGGGTGCCAGTGGGCTTGGTGCCAGCCGAGCGCTTCCCACTAGATGGCAGAAACCGCCCCGCTAAAGAACTGCGATGGCTGTGCTCTGCTCAGCACCACCGAGGTCTGCGGGATGGGATCAGCCCAGCAGTGATGGCATGTCAGCCCGTGCTGTGAGCTTGTAGGGAATATTCGACGCAGACCCCTGCTTCCCGTCTACAGAAACCGCACTGAATATCTAGCATCCCTTGTAATAGGTAACCTATTTTTAGCAGCTTATCTTTGTTTATTGGAAGTTCTCTTTTTCTAAACATCACATAGTCACTGAGAAAAATAATCATGTTCGCTGAGATTTAGACGAGAAATTAAGTAGCAAAACTAAACACAGCACAGTCAGTACAGTTTTAGTGTTTTATGTTTTTATTATCTTATATGTATATATCATACTCTTTCCATTATGGCAAAAAATACATTTCTGTGAGATCTTTTGAAAGACTCCACAGTAACCAATAAATGGCTGACAAATAGGAATTTTTTTTGTTTACTAGGATCAGATACAGGACCAGGTAAATCTAGTATTTTACATTTAGAAGGTGAAAGTAACTTACAAAATTTGACCATATCTTTCTTCGTAATAACACAAAGAGCTTGATGTATTCCATTTAAAATCTGTAGCAAAATTTCCATCAGCTTCTATGGCAGCACTGAAGGAATCACAGAATCACACAATCACGGAATCACAGAATGGTCGGTGTTGAAATGGACCTCTGGAGTTCGTCTAGTCCAACCCCCCACCAAAGCACGGTTACCTAGAGCAGGCTGCACAGGACCTCGTCCAGGTGGGTTTTGAATATCACCAGAGGAGACTCCATAACCCCTCTGGGCAGCCTGTTCCAGTGCCAAAGTAAAGAAGTTCTTCCTCGTGTTCAGGTGGAACTTCTTACACTTCAGTTTCTGCCCATTGCCCCTCATCCTGTCACTGGGGAGCACTGAAAAGAGTCTGGCCCCATCCTCTTGACACCCACCCTTCAGGTATTTATCAGCATTTATAAGGTCCCCTTACAGCCTTCTGTTCTGTAGGCCAAACAAGCCCAGCTCCCTCAGCCTTTACTCATAGGAGAGATACTCCAGTCCCCTCATCATCTTCGTAGCCCTCTGCTGGACTCTCTCCAGTAGCTCCTCATCTTTCTTGAACTGGGGAGCCCAGAACTGGACACAGTACTCCAGATGGGACCTCACTAGGACAGAGTAGAGGGGGAGGAGAACCTCTCTCGACCTACTGGCCACACTCCTCCTAATGCATCCCAGGATCCCATTGGCTTTCTTGGCAGCCAGGGCACACTGCTGACTCATGGTCAACTTGTTATCCACTAGTACACCCAGGTCCCTCTCTGCAGAGCTGCTCTCCAGCAGATCCGCCCCAAGCCTCTACTGATACATGGAGTTGTTCCTGCCCAGGTGCAGGACCCTGCATTTGTCCTTGTTGAACCTCATCAGGTTCCTCTCTGCCCAACTTTCCAGCCTGTCCAGGTCATGCTGAAAGGCAGCATAGCCTTCTGGTGTATCTGCCACACCGTGACAACAACATGAGCAAAGAATTGGGGAAGAATGGATGATCACTGATTTTTCTAAGGGCTCCATTCTCTACACTGTTGGTACAATGGCCCTTACTGACTTCAAAATAAGTATGGCAAAAACAGCTTTATATTTGCTGTTACTGTATTTTGGTAGTAATTTTGTGTGAAATGTTTAGCTTACATTGCCCAATTAAATGAAGAGAAAATCTTGTTTACTCCTTTCCATACTCAGGTCAGTTGACTTTTTAATGTTTATTTGTCAGCAGTAAACTTGCATCTTTCCTCTTAAGCCAACTGTTTGGAATAATCAAAGAACATCTCTGCTTTTTCAAATTAGTTTTTAATTTTCTGAAGTCTGAGAGAGTCGCAGTAACATGAAAGAACAGGTCTCTCTTAACTGAAAGGCTCTGTGTTCTTTTCCTCCTCTCAAAGAATAGACTGTATCTGTGAAGTGAAACCAAGGGCTATGAGTAGGAATATCCCATCCTTGGACGCTCCCCTACTTGTTCACGACCAAGTCTTTCTCAACACTTACTCTAGATGCAGTGGTTTTAGCTGATGGTAATTCTGGTGAGAGTGCTAACTTTTAGAGTTACTAAATTAGATAGATAAACAGCAAAGTGTCACAGCTATTGAAAAAAATCCAAACATTTCTTCATCTGCCTTTAAACATAGGTGGTGGTTAACCCCAGTGTGTTGGACTGCCCTCAGTTTATGCCAGAGTAACTCCAACTGACCTCTGAAGCACAATATTTAACTGCTATTTCAGGAAAGCTCATAATTTATCCATGAAAGACCTTGAATCAGTCTATCCGGCTCCAGCAAGTAATCTGGGAACTCTCAGATGTCTGCATTTGAGACTGTTCTCTGGGAGACGTCCGTGGGAAACTGAATGATTCATGATTCTTACACCTAGTGATAATCATACACATTCCTAAAGCACAGTAACATGAAGAGGCATAAAAGTTATATTATTATAACAGAAACAATTTTAGTATTCTTTTCACCGAGCTGATCTGTTCTATTATAAATGCCGCCTCATCCGAAGTCTACAGACTTTCATGTCATTAGTTTTACTGAAGTGTAGTCACGAGCCCATAGATGATTTATATCTGAGCGCCATACATGGCAAGGAAAAAATACATCC